AGCTTGTCCGAAATGGGATCTGGGAGAGTGGAGTCAGGTATATAAAATACACGCTATACAGAAATACGTAAAACGTGATGTTAAAATCAGATTAGCTTGTTAATAATTTTTCTTAGAATTTGTCATATAACTTTTCAAAATTTTTATATGAATTTCATAATTTTTCAGAATTTCTTAATAATTTTATAATTTTTTAGAAAAAAATTAAAAATTCTGGAAAAAATGTTTATCAAAATTATTATAGTTATATAGAAACTACTTTTAATATGTTATACAGAACACAAAAATATATTTGTACTTTAAATATATTTCTCTTAAGATCACAGTACTTTCTGAGACGAAATATAATTGATCAGCTGTTATGCTTCAAATATCTCTCATGCAGTATTGGATAATATTCGTAAATAATTTGAATTAATGGATGTCATGAAATGTTACAGTGTTCCGTGACTTGTGGCATAGGAAAACGACATAGAGCTTCCTGGTGTCAGGTCGAAAATCGCGTAGTATCGCGCACGTTCTGCAGCGGTACACCGGTTATAACGGAGGTCTGCGATGCTGGTCCTTGTCATCAATGGCATGCCAGCGATTGGAGTCCGGTACAGTACATTGAACAATTTTCTGTACATCTTTAATAAGTTATCAGGTTGAATCTAGTCTCTCGTTGTACAGTGTTCAGTGACGTGTGGCGAGGGGACGTCGCGAAGAAAAGTCGTTTGCAAGAATGCAGATGGTGCTCCGAGTGACGGATGCCCTATTGCTGAGAAACCAGAGACTTCGGTTATTTGCACGCTAAAACCATGTCTCAATGTAGTAAGTTTCCATTATATTTATCGACAAAAGCAATTTTTGAAGTTATTAATACAAAATTACAAGAATATAGATCGAATAGAATAGAATTCATTCTCTTCAGCACACATTTACATATAAAAAGAGATTAGTTATTTTAAATCATTTTCATCTTTACTTTTTTTCTATAATACAACATTTGTTGAAAGTCTTGCTTTCTTTTTAGGTAAGCTTAGCGCCGACCACATATTCAACGAATCCTTCACGTGAAGATTCATCTCCACAAGAAAACGAAATTGATAACAACGGTATTACATTCCATTATAAGTGGCACATAGGACCTTATGGAGAGGTAGGTTTATTTACTATAGTAAACATCATTTATTAGAATGCGATTCGTTTGTATAGTTTACAGTTTTCACAAATTCTTAACTTTGTAGTTTATAATTCGGAATAATTCATATTATTTTATCATTTATGTATAGTGCTCGCAAAAGTGTAATATCGGATTCAAAACTAAAATAGCGAGATGTATATCGGAAATCGGGATGGTTGCACCTGACTATTACTGCGATTCTAATCAAAAACCGATAATCAGAATGACGTGCAATCATTATCCATGTCCGGCTTGGAATACCGGCGACTGGAGTGAGGTATTGAAACATTTTCTGTTATACAAAATTAATATGTTTTATATAAACATTATTTTTTGTGTACAAAATTTAATTATAATATAAAATTATATTAAATATTTTTTCAGAATATATTTCGCGAAAATATGCAGTAATTCTTCTGATTAATGATATGCTTTCGATGATTTTAATGATTTTAGTGCGACGTAACGTGCGGTAACGGATTCCAACATCGTCAAGTCCGCTGCCAAGGGCATGACGGTGAAATTTTGCCGCACAAGGAGTGTAGCGAAGAACAACCAAAACACGTGCAAAGATGTCAGATGGAATCTTGCAGAAGTAGTCCTAAAAACAGCAGAGAGAACAGTCTGGAGTCTAACATCATTCGTAAATGGAAAATGTCTAATTGGACTCCGGTAAGTAAATCATATATTATCTAGTAAAATTATAATATAAAAATATGGAGTTTATTGATTAATGAGATTATTTTTTTATCCTTTAATTTTTGAATAGTAATTGAGGACAGCAGTAAAAGTTGAAGTTATTGGAATTTATTTCTATATGAGAATCAATGGAAAAAGAAATATATAGGCATTTTAAAAATATTAACGAAACATTGTTTTAGGAAAACTATTTTTATTAAGCGAAATATCTTGAACGGAACTTCTCCCCATTTTATTTTAGTGAATCATAAACGTAATAAAACAATTAAAACAATTCAACGGAATCGAATTTTAACGGGCCAATTTCGGCAATAGCGATGTTGAACGCTAAATTTGATCGTTACGGATGTGTGGCCAGTTTGCACCGAATCGAAATATTTTGCAGTGCTCGAAATCATGCGGCACCGGGATTCAGACGCGAAGAGTGGAATGTATGATGAGAAGAGGCAACCATGGGCCGGAAGTACCCGTTAAGGACGAGCAGTGCATAAGATCGAAATCACGCAAACCAAAATCGCAGAGATTATGCCAACGCATTGCCTGCGATTTTATCTGGCAAGAAGGCACCTGGTCGGAGGTATCTTTATACCTCAAACCTTACGCCAATGCTATAATCTTCCCAGTCAGAAATAATAATAGAATCGACATCAATTCAACGTCAATTTGATGCTTTCGACGTCGAATCAACATCAATTCGATGTCGATTTTATTGTCATTTCTGACTGGGTTGCTACTAGGCCCAAATTTTACGAAAATTTCACAACTTTAAGTAAAAAAACATTGAAAATTAAATTGAATTTTACACGCACGCAAATGTTGATGTATACATACTATACAGCAAAGGGAATAACGATTATTGACAACGATGGCACAAATAACTAATCCTAATTAATCGCATATGTAAAATGGCTTCCATAAATACATGGTGAATTATGGAAAATGCATGATACCTTGATAACTCATAGGATCATCGTTAGATTCGTGCGAGATGTTTGCACAATTTAACGTTTCTTTTTCAAACAGTGGACTTTTCTGCATGTTATTAATCTCACATTTATTCAGAAATATGTATATACACAGAGTGTTTCCCACTTAACGAGCGTAAAATTATATATATTTAGATATTAGATAATTATAGATGTTTAATCACTAATGTGTATAACTTGCACTACACCTAGCAGATTTAGGAAATATTATTGATTTGTAATATTTATGCATAATACTAATATCAATATATATAAAACATCCTGGGAAATTAAACCGCCACATATTATACAACCGTTATGTGCGTGTGTGCACTGTACAGATAATATCGTACAACTACATAGTCTTAATAAAATGATAATGGCCTGGAATATATCACAGATTATACTTTTGTTTCAGATTACGCATGAGCATGTATATATTTATTTTTAATTAATTAATTTTGTATTTTAATGAGAGAATGTATCTTATCATATCAAGCGAACTTTAAGCAAAGTGATCAATAGATGAAGATCAATGGAAGAAGATTTAAATGAAATTGTATATTCTATTTTAATGAAATAGACTGTTTTTGCAATGTTTAACTATGAATAAAAATGCAATTTTAACGAATATGAAATTGTCGAGAGACATATGAAATTTTTGCACTGTGGTTATAATAATCATTCGTGATAATTTGCTGATTCTCCGATACGTTCTTTCATTATGAAATTTATTATGACTTTCATTTATAACTCTAATCAACTTTATCAAGACACAATTATCGATAGAAATATTGTAATAATTTTTGCGCACTTGCGCTTTCTTACTTCTTTTGACATAATCAAGATTTATAGATGTTTATTTTTCCACAAGTGTACGCCGGACTGTGGCAACGGAATACAACGTCGTGCTGTCACTTGTCATCGAGTAAACCGCTACGGATGGATCGATCCAACTCCAACGGTAGGTTGTCCGATGGATCAAAGGCCAGTCGGCGAGCAGATTTGTAAACTACGCGAATGTAGCGATAAATATTATTGGACTACTGGCCCTTGGAGAAAAGTGAGTGCCTCTTCGAAATATTATTTCAATGTCATACTAATCACTAATCCGCAATTATAGCAATAGCTGTAAAATTCTTTAGAGATAGGTTCAAATATATCAAAATTTATTAATTTTAAATAAAAATAAAAAAACTTATAACATTTCTTGTAATTTAAGGATTATCTCTTAAGAAAAAGAAAAAAATTATGGTTTATAATCAATTATAAAGTTTAATTTGAAAAGTTGAATTAATAATTTTTTAAAGCAAAATATTTTTTTTAATTTTTTGGAAGTTTTACATCGGTGTAATTCTTTAATTTTTAATATTAATAATAATCAATATTAATTTAATAAATAATATCGTTATTTGTAGCAATAACTTTTCTTTCTTCGCGCATTCTCCATCTTTCCTTTTTCTTTTTCTTCTGCTATACCTCTCTTTATATCTATTTTTCTTTTTTGTTTCTATAGTGTAGTCATCCTTGCGGACGCAAAGGTCGGCAGATCCGCAGGCTTTATTGCCACGACGCAATCATCGACAAGAAAGTAGCGCGGTTCCATTGTCCAGCTGAATACAAACCACTACGAAAGCGCAAGTGCAACCAAAGAAAATGCGGTCCGGTCACCTGTCTCGAAATCCAGAAACGACTCAAAGCTACCACGGATGGCGAATATCCATTGTTAATCGGTGGTAGAAATATGACTATTTATTGTCACGGAATGTCGAGCGCCGAACCGCGAGAATATCTGACTTTGCCAGCTGGCGATAGCGAGAACTATGCAGAAATTTACGACAAAAGGTTGGGCAACTATCGTTTTACCCTCGATGTTTACAGCATTATTTTTTTAACAATTTTTTATTTTTTTAATTTTTTAAAATAATTTCGTGTGATATTTTGTAATAATCTGATTTTGATGCATCAGGTTGAGGAACCCACACACGTGTCCATTCAATGGTCAAAGAAACGACAGTTGCAACTGTGTGTCCGAATTGGGAACGGTGTCTGGCAGAACGATGTTTAAGAGGGTACGCATAGATCCAGCGAAACTTTTTATTATAGGTGAGCACAATGTTTATACATACTTTGAATTTAATTTTTAATTAAAGTTTGGAAATTACGTTTACAGAGACGATTGTATTTCGCGGGGAAGTGGAGAAAATATACATTTAATTTTTAATTATATATTTTTATATACATTCCATGCAGTTCTGTACACTTAATACACTGGAAATATTTTATGTTTAGCGAATGATTACACGTTTTCGTGGACAAAAGGAATGCAACGCGTGGAGTATGGCAAAGCCGGTGATTGTTACAGTCTCGTCGAATGTCCACAAGGACGTTTTAGTATTGATTTGACAGGAACTGCTTTGGAATTATCACCAGAAATTACTTGGGTTAAGGAAACTTCGATCTCTTCTCTCGCAATCAATAGAATTGTAAGTAGAATTGTAAGAATCAATTAATTAAAAAGAGAAAGTGGTTATCGATTTATTCAAAATTGCAAATTATATACATACTTATATTGCAAATTTAACATATTTTTCGTTTGTTTTATGTTGCTTTATTTATTATTTTATATTTATATCTCACGCAATAAATGGGGTACGAGGGTCACAAATGGAGGGATCTTGCTCAGAGACGGGAACAGTGGCGGGATTTGGTATTTGCGGCAATGAGCTTTCGAGTTCCTAACGCCTAATAATAATAATAATAATATCTCACGCAATAAAATTCTGAAAAGTAATTATTAATCAACGAAGTCACTTCGATGTATTTTTTTATTCAGCAGGAAATTTACCAATCTTTTTCTTAGAAGACCAATTCCAAATTTCTTTTAGACTAATTTAGACAATAGGAAAATGACAAATTTTAAGATGATAACAGATTTTTTGTTTCTGCTTCCAATAATTAATTTTTGAAAATATATTCTAACGCATATTTTTCGTATTACTTGCAATTAGAATAATCAACGAATCGTCGGTAAATGCGGCGGTTATTGCGGCTTCTGCAAACCGATGACGGGCCTAAAGCTGGACGTATTACCTCCCTAGTCACAGCCATCAACTTTTTTTTGGTACTTCATCTATCTGTTCTATGATCCCGCGACTACAAGTCACGGTATTATGACCACCGATTTGCTTTAAATTCGATTAGTTTTTTAGTAGCTGCCGGAAAGAATATATATATTTTTCAATATACGTATATATTGAAGATAGCGATATCGAAACTAATGGACTCCAGCGATCGATATAGTGGAATGCACATGACACGATGTACAATCTATCACTGCCGTCACACATGTGCGATTATTATACAGATAAAAATAACGACTTACGATTATGTGTTTGTAGAAAACGTGTCTCTATGCAAAATTAGAAAGTTTACAACTAGAAAAAAAGAAAAAGAAAGCAATTTTTATTAGTCTAAAATAAATATTAATATAACTGGAGGTATTTTCTCGCCACAAATCGAATTTCCAGCAGACGTAACGATATCAAATCATATAGTAATCGTTACATACATTTCATGTACAAACTTAAAGTAATCGATAATGATATCTATTCTATGAATTCATCCTCGTGATTAATATTATGCTCTCTCGATGATCTTATGATCCTACAGTTTGCTCTTATCGTGATGCACTGCCGTTTTCTACAATGCTCCATCGATTTTAAAAGAAAGAGACGTTAAGAACAACTGATGCTTTATTTTTTACTTTAATAGTAAAGTATCTATACATACAGAAATATGCATAAGTGCAACTGAGATGAATAACTTGATTAACATCTTGATATTAGAACAATTAATAATATTTGTAGCTTCCAGATAAAAAGAAAAGAATGTACTCGAGTTTATGGTTTTTACACAATGATGAATATTTTGTACGATATTTTTTTACTTGCAGTGAACTGTAGAAACAAATTTAAAATTTCTTAAACAAACTCTATAGGATATAATTTTTCCTTTTTGGTTGCATCGCGCGCGCATAGGAAAATATCGTCCGTTTTTTATTTCGAGGATATTGCAGTAACATTCATAGCGTAGACATGCACGCGTAAAATGAATAAATCTATTAGTAAGATTCATAGCGTACGCGTGTAAGTACTTTGAAAGTACTTTGAAAATGGTATATACACTGTGTCCGTTAATAACTAATATACGTAATTTCATTTCATTGTTAAAAAAGGAATATCATGTAGGATGCTACGGGAAGTTTTACAAACTGTTTCTACTTATAATTAGGATGCATCGATTCTTCCTTAATAAAAATTATCTCACAACTTATTTATTGTCGTTTAGCAAATATATTTTTTGATAATGCATTAAAAGGAATTTACTGAAATTCAATCCTTGGTGAAATTCAATCCTTTTTTTGGAGTTTTCCATATAATTTTTCAGAATTTTGCAGTTTTCTAAATATTTTTATAATTTTTTAAAAAGTTTCTCACATTATGTTATACAAATTGTAACACTTTTCAGAAAAAAATCTACACTTTTCTAAAATTATTTATACATGTGAATTCTGAAATACTTTTTTTTTGAAGATTTTTTATTCTATAATTTTTATTAAAATAAAATCTTATAAAATCTGAAAAAGTTTAAGATAGTTTTTCACAAATTATAGAATGAGAAAACTTAGAATATTGTAAAAATTCACATACATGAAAAATTCTAAGATTCTCAGTTTTTCTGAAAAGTGTTCTAATTATTCATATAAAAATATTGAAAAAAATTTATAGAAATTAGAATTGATTTTCATCAAGGACGACTCCTTCTTTTATGAGAAAAAAATACTGACATTTGTCAAGATTTTAAATTGATCAAAATATAAAGTTTGTGAAACTTATGACATTCCGCACTTATCCGCAATCTGAATGAAGATTAAGCGCAAAATTCGTTTTCTATCTACTTATTACGTACACTCGTATATCGTATTATGTTACTGAAGCAGATCCGCGAAATTTGTACAAAAACTAATAATATTTATACTATAAAATAGTAGAGTAAATAAAGTCTAAGGAAACTTTATTGCATTTTATCGCACCGCACCACTTAGGAACGATGTCATGAACGGTGCCGATTAGTCTTTTTACATTAAACAACCAACAAGATTGGTCAGTACAATAAAACGCCTTTCTCTAAACGATTGCGACACTCGTGTTATTAGATGTGAATGTTAAAGTGCTCAGTTTGCTGGATGCTTTACAACTTAGACGCCTGTTAGCTATATAAATACGCGTATTTCGACAGACTGCCATAGTTAATATTATTATATGGTATATGTATACGTAATTGTAAGTATATAACCTGCCAATCTTGGCTACGTTGTAGCATAATATAAGATTTGACAGAGATAGCGCGGTCTATCTCATATGTAAGCGCGAGGATGCACGCATTTTTTTTAAGATAAATATTTCCGAAGTGCCGAATTAACGACGTTAGTCGCGACAGTCTCGATAATGTAAAAATTCGATGTGTAAACGAACGCGATATTTACTTAATTGTTGTATTAACTTTAGCAAAACTAGGAGCGAATGGTGTTACCACCGATTAGCAGATTGACTGCGACATGTTCTACAGATTGCACTGCATGTTGTCAAGGCGGAGGCATTATTATAGCGACGTTATCTCACTTGTGCCCTAAATATGTTTCGAAAATACCAAATTTTATATGAGGCACATACTGAGTATATTGACGCCTACTGTAGAACAGTACACAACCCACGGCATCCTCAACTTGACTTTGCAGACAATATAACTGCTGCAGGGCCAATGTATGAGCGTAAAAGGCACGCTGTGCCGTAAATTTACATATCTAATATCGTAGGCAGCTAATTGGTCGGTAATTAAACTCACGTGTGAGAATTCGTTGTTTTACATTTCCATCGCCGACAACGTATCACGTATATAATGTACATTAAATAAGTGTTCTGATTGACGTTAATTAAATGGACGTCTTCGCGAACGCAATTCATCTATTATGATATACAGAGAACCATATCATTTTCATTACAGATTTTATGATTAATTTGCTGTTACTTAATCTTTTCAACTTAAAACACGTACAATTTTTGAATAATTAATGACTAAAGATAAAAGATTTATAGCAAATTAAACTTCACATAGGAAATAAAATAGATGATAAAGTCATAATATTTTAGTTATTTTAATGCAATGGTCTTTATCTTAATCGATGTTTTTTTTTAATTTAATTGCATACAAATATATACGATTAAAAATTGAAAATTAATCGACAATATTTGATATCTCAACAATTTTTTTGAATTAGCTTGAAGAGCTATTGGAAAAACATGTGACGCTTCTGTATGTCATTATAGATTGTATTAAAGCAATACAAAATATCGGATATAATAAGAATATATAATTATTGACATCCGCCTTTTATATGTTTTTTATTTTAATCTATAGATATAGATCAATATAATAGAATAATTTCAAAGACTCCCTTCAATGTAAAAGTTATTTTCATTGTCAGTGTTGGGACAAAACCTGGTACAATGAAAATTCATTCACACATAAATATCTGGAAATGACTCATAATATTTAAATAATTTCTGATGTATAATGTCAAGAAACAATTCAAAAAGTACTCGCTTAATGAATTATATAGACATTCGTATGACATATAACGTCTATAATGTAAGTATGCATACCACTTTGCTAACCTTTGAGTAATTATAATTCTTTACTGCCAACCCCCTCCCCCCCCCTCCCAAGTATTTCTTTATATACATGGCAATTGTACATTTTATATAAATTTTAAATAAACCATGAAATATATTTTTGTTTACTTTATAACGCAAAAGTAGTTTCAGCAAAGTTAGTTTTTGAGAAAGTCAATATAATATCGGCTTTTTGCAATATGTGTGATCGTAGAGATTTTATGTGAACCAGTGTATATGTCCGAATAAAATAGAAATGTCTCGCAAACTATTGATTTTTTAAATTTCTTTAGCCTACTTTTATATGCGGAATAACATACAAGAACAAAAAATTGATTTATGAAAAAAAAGCATATTTTATTTAAAAACTAAGAGTGATTTTAAAACTTCAGAACTCTCCTGTTTATTTAGAATAAAATGTATATCTCTATTGACATCTTTTTTTGAAAATAAGTAACTTTTATCTAACAATAAAACATTTTTTTGGAAATAAAGAGTTCCTTTTCTATCTAAAATTAATTTCTTTTAATTTTATTCAGGATGACGTTGATAGTGATGTCATAAACTGTCTTGGAATTGGCATCCTTGTTATGTTTATGCGGTTGAATTTTGGAAATACAACCTTTGTAATTAATTAATATCTACGTTTTAGGCCGATATTTTAGCTACGATACGGAAACTAAAAGTTTCGATGCAAATATCGAATATCAAAAGGGGTAATGATACGATATTTCAAAATATCGATTATATCGGAACATCTCCACAGCAGAGCAACAAAGAAGTGGCCAATACGCTATTTCTTTGAAATACTTGATCAAGCACATATCAATTCAAGACTCTTACATACTTGCAAATAGATGAATATAGTGAAAATCCAAAATATTGTCAGTTTATAAAAGCACTTATAAAATCGTTGAGCCGTTTTTGAAAGAACATTATATGAGCCGTTTTCCTGATAATAATGGGATTTTAAATCGCTACGTGCTGACGTCAAAATGGACAAAAAAACATTTTATAAATAGCTTCAGATTCGTTAAATGCGGACGATGAAAGATACCAATTTGATAAGCAACAGCGATGTAATATTTGCAGCTATAAAAAAAATCGCAGAACAAAAATGCAATGCCCATCGTGCAGACAGGCTATGTGTGATCGTCATCGCATATATTTGTGCACTGAATGTGGTGGAGTAAATTGCAGTAAAATTTATAAATTTTTAATAATCCTTGAAAAAAAAATAATGTAAAATGATTTTCTTTTATTTTTGTAGAACAAAAATATAATAATAAAATACATCCGTTATCGTAATTTTTTATATATATGGGTGCAAAAGTTTCTCGGGTAACAACTGTTTGAGATAAATCAAACCTGATAATAATGGGATTTTAAAGAATTATATATTTATACTAAAAAATTTATTATATAATATTTAACAATTCCTAATTTTTTGTACTTTCCAAAAGTTTAATTATTAATATCTCGTTAATATAAGGGTATCTATTCGACTTATCTCGATTTTTTTTGTATTCACATAATTTTAACTAAATTCATGTATTTACGACATTATTAAATATAAAGCATTTTGGTAAAAATTATCTAAATTAAAAATAAAAATTTGTCAAATATAATCTTATAATATCTGCACGTATTTTATCATAGAGAAGTATATATATACATATATACATATAGTCATGTATGTAGAAAAACACACTCATTATATTTGCTATACAATGAATATTTCAAAGTAATTAATTCCAATATGAATAAAAATTGTTATCCGAAAAAAATATACGAATGAAAGGAGGGTTTTGTTTATAATAAATACACGTATACGTGAACATGTGAACATGAAAGAGATACCATTTATTTAGCTTATAAGAACGAACAAGTAAATTTACGTAGGAAGGACACTTTGAGTAAAACACATTTACTAATCGTCATAGTGTTCGAACATAAAGACGAGAATAAATAAAAAGGAAAGAACGGGAAAGAGAGAAAATGACCATCTTTGCCGATTCTAGATTTTGCTCGAACAGCATCACGCTTGCAACGCCTTAAAACGATCTATCGGGAATTACTAAATGTCTCTCAAAGCGAAAGCACGTGGATACGCGTCTCCTACTTGACATTCACGTATGTACGCGTAATACATATTTATATTTATATATTTTATATTCATATGTAGATATTTATATACTAGAGCGAGGAAAAACAGAAAGTAAACCGACTCCGAAAAGGGACGCGCATTAAACATGCCTTTCTCTCAACTCTCTTCTACAATGTAAGTCTAAACGAGTGTTTAATAAACTAGTAAAGTACAAACAGTTCCATTACGAGAAAAAGGGAGAAAGAGAGAGAGAGAAAGAGAGATAGTACATTAAGCTCAGGTTTACATACTTATGACTATCGCTTATTTCTACCAAAATGTAGATTAACTTTATCTCGGATTAATTTATTCTTTATTTTTTTCTAATTCTTGGAACTAAATGAAGATAAAAAGTAAGATAAACCGAGATTAAAGTTAATCTACATTGGTAGAAATGGACATATAATCTTAACAAAAACGTGGTTTTGTACGCTCAACTTCGCGCTTCGCACAAATAGCGCTTAGTCA